TGAAAGTGACAGAAAAAGCCTAGTCCTTAAGTGGATACTTCACAAAATCATATACTATTGGCCAGAGGAGATGGACTCTTAGGGCTCATGTACACGGAACGTTTGGAAAACTCTTCTGAACGATGGAAACTGACTGCTGGAAAACGTAGGCTAACAAACGTCTGTTTAGCCACGTTTGCATACCGCTTTTTTGTGCGTTTATGAGCGTTTGGTTTAGAAGCGTTTTTTTAAGATAACCTCAGGAGACCTTCCAAAATGCCCAGAATACACTGAAAAACAGTAAAAAAATTAACTATTTCAGACATTTTGAGAGATATAGAGAGAGCAGAAGCAGAGAGAGCAGTATGTGTTGAGATGACCTGTCTTTCCTAATTGTATTCACTATGGATCCCATCATGAGCATAATGCAGCACGTTCTACCATTATATCCTTCACGCAAAACCTGGAACTGACTGCGCTGGTGTGCTAGGTCCATTTGAATACATGGAAAACACTTTGCATGCATTTCTGATGATGAAAAAAGGCTCTGGACAGCATCTGGACATGGAACAGTTAAAAAACGCTTATAAATGCGGTTAGCCATGTTTAAACGTGTTTGGCGTTTGAAACGCTGATAAAATCCACTGAAAACAAGTTTGGTGCGTTCAAAAAACAACTGTAAACTCAACTGCCTGTAAACTACTGTAAACAACATAGTGCACATGGACACATAGGAAAACATTAAGGAGAGTTCAGGGGCTGCTGAAAAAAAAGCTCCTGAACGTGAGTTTATCAGCTGCAGTGTACATGAAGCCTAAGGCTGGCCATACATTATACAATTTTCTTGAGATTTTTGGTTTAGATTTACCAAAAGCCATATAATATGAGGTCAAACCTAACAACACTTTTCATTGTATCCAATTAGGCAGGCTCTTGCACTACATAGTTGAAGGTAAATCTAAAGGAAATTGGGCAGAAATTGGACAAAAAATTGTATAGTGTATGGCCAACCTTAGTCTGTAGGTAACAATAACACAGAGGATGTCTGTCCTTGATTAATATACCATTTCATAACAATGTGCTCATTTTTACTGTATTGTTTGAATAGGACATAGACATGTTTTGCTGTGCTTACAAACGTCTGTCCAGTTGTCCTGTTTGCCCTTGTCACTTCTGCCCTTTGCTGACGTAGTCGCTCTGCCTCCATCACAGCATGCTATCTCATGTTCACAGATCACGCCAAGGTCAAGCCAGGTATTGTCTGGCAGGATTCATGTTTCTCAGCCATTTCCAACAGTCACATTCTTTCTTGCTGCTCCTCCATGCCACCAGCAGCCTGTCCTGTCTGTCTCCCATAACTCAGGATAGTTATATTTAACAGGCTGCCAACAACCCCGATTCTTTTTGACGCAGACAGGAATTGCCATTATGTAACACTTCCATCTAATTTTTCTTTCTTTTGTTCATCTTGTGATGGAAGTCCTAAATTACAGTTATGGTGATAAAGATGTATTTTTATCATAAAAGCTGCAATAGAGTAAAGCACTTATGTGTGTATTCTAAGATGATAATGCCCACATTCTTTGTTCCCAGAGTTATAAAAGCTGCTAAAATGGAAGCGATCTTCTCTTTTTTTCCCCCCTTGAAAGTTATTAAAAGCACAAATTAAGCCAATAAATGAATACTGTACATAGTTCATACTTCAGTGTTGTATTCTTGTCCACAGTGACACCTACAGGCAGGTATATATTACTGCTGTGCTATCCTAAAGCCGCATTAAACCCCAGACTCAAATTCTGTATATTTTTCTTAGCCAGTCATTAGGTGTGGTGGTTACATTAGTTTTATTTTTTTTTTCCCCTCTTGTTTTCACCTGGTGATCTGGTCATTAACACACCTCCTGTATTAGAGTGCCCCCACTCTGCATGAAGGAAAATGGGGGGTACAGTTCAACAGTAGAATTGTCAGTCTGAGGGAAGGAAGTGTTAGATGTACTAGCAGATTTAAATACACTAACAAATTAAAGCCAAACTCCATCTAATACTTTATAAGCAGTTACAACAAACTTTATTTTACCTTTTGGGATAAATGTTTTACATAAATAAAACTGATTATTGTAAGCACCCCTGCTAGTGTGGCATGGTTTGTATCTTCTCTGTAACTGATAGAACTTGTTCTTTTGAAAAGTAGCTGACTTAGTGGACAGATCACCAGGTGAAAATAGAAAAAAGAAAGAATTAAAAAAATGAATTCAGCCATCATACCTAAGAATTGGTAAGCTGCAATATTATTTATTATTATTATTATTATAATGCAGGATTTATATAGCGACAACAGTTTGCGCAGTGGTTTACAAAATGAAGGTAGACATTACAGTTGCAATACAATTTGGTGCAAGAAGAAACAGAGGGCCCTGCTCAATGTAATAAATGTTTGATTTTGGGTTTAATGGTGCTTAACACTAGGTCCACATTAGTGCTGCTGTTGCTTGATGCATATTTGTAGTGCAACTTCACGTGCTTTTGCCTGGATTTTATACACAAAACACTGCCAAAAACACACTAAAAATGCATGCACATGCAGTTTACATGTGGTCCCTTTGAGGTTTGAGGCAAAAAAAAACGCACTAACTTCACCAAAAAAGCACCTGCACTGCATTTCAAAAACAATCTGCAGGTTCACTGCATTGATATGAATGGGCATCATAGAGAAAAATGTAGTTTTAATTTTGCAGTGCAGCACGACCGCAAACGCCGGGGCTTAAAGTGAGCATATCAAGACTGAGAGGGTCCTGCATCTGTTTCCCAAGCTGCAAGATTCTGGGCTGTGGCTTTCCTTTTTGTAATTGCACCATCCTGATTTGAAGCACGTATTTGTCTTGACCTGCTTGTTTGTTTAGGGCCAGTGTCTATGTAGTGAAGCAAGCATTGGGAACTGAACTCTGGAAATTGCACGTCCAAAAGTAATTGGAGATGGCAGCTTGAATAGTTATATCCTGATATGTTTCTGTTAAAGAGAAACTATCATCATGAAAAAAACAAAACGTTTGAGCATACAATAAAACAATACATTTTGACTAGTGGAATAAAGTAACAATTCACTGTGGGCACAACCATGTGCAGTGTCCAGGCAGAGCTTTGGTTCCAATCATCTGCTATAAAGCTTTATACAAAGATGTTGGAGATTTCCAAATGCAGATTACAGAGCAAAAAGAGCATTGCTTTTGTCCTCTGTCTCTTGAATATTTGCTAGGGGCTCTATATATATATATATATATTATATATATATATATATATATATATATATATATATATATATATATAATGCCGAAAATATTGGGGCTCTTGCCTTTACACACACATGAACTTTAATGGCATCCCAGTCTTCGATATTGAGTTAACCCATACTTTGCAGTTATAAGAGCTTCACCTCTTCTGGGAAGGCTGTCCACAAGGTTTAGGAGTGTGTCTATGGGAATGTTTGACCATTCTTCCAGAGAAGAGGTCAGGCACTGATGTCTGATGAGAAGGCCTGGCTCGCAGTCTCCACTATAATTCATCCCAAAGGTGTTCCATCAGGTTGAGGCAGGACTCTGTACAGGCCAGTCAAGTTCCTCCACCCCAAACTCGCTTATCCATGTCTTTATGGATCTTGCTTTGTGCACTAGTGCGAAGTCATGTTGGAACAGGAAGGGGCCATCCCCAAACTGTCCCCACAAAGTTGGTAGCATGAAATTGGCCAGAATGTCCTGGTATGCTGACACCTTAAGAGTTCCCTTCACTGTAACTAAGGGGCCAAGCCCAACCCCACACCATAATCCCTCCTCTTTACACTTGGCACAATGCAGTCAGGCAAGTACCCTTCTCCTGTTAACCACCAAACCCAGACACGTCCATTGGATTGCCAGACAGAAAAGCGTGATTCGTCACTTCAGAGAACACGTCTCCACTGCTCTAGAATCCAGTGGCAGCGTGCTTTACACCACTGCATCCCATGCTTTGCATTGCACTTGGTGATGTAAGGCTTGGATGCAGCTGCTCACTCATAGAAACCCATTCCATGAGCTCTCTACGCACTGCTGTTGTGCTAATCTGAAGGCCACACGTAGTTTGGAGGTCTTTAGCTATTGACTCTGCAGACAGTTGGCGACTTTTGCGCACTGTGTGCTTCAGCATGCACTGACCCCACTCTGTCATTTTATGTGGCCTTCCTCTTGGTGGCTGAGTTGCTGTTGTTCCCAGTTGCATCCACTTTGTTATATTAACACTAACAGTTGATCGTGGAATATTTAGTAGCAAGGAAATTTTACGGATGGACTTATTGCACAGGTGGCAACCTATCACGGTACAACGCTTGAATTCACTGAGCTCCTGAGATCGACCCATTCTTTCACAAATGTTTGTAGAAGCAGTCTGCATGCGTAGGTGCTTGATTTTATACATCTGTGGCCATGGAGGGGATTGGAACACCTGAATCCAATGATTTGGAGGGGTGACCCAATACCTTTGTCAATATATAGTGTGTGTATATATAATGGAGACCAGATTTTATTGATATGACCTCTAGGAGTGTAACTACTACAGGCCACATAGCAGAAGTTGGTATTCTCTGGGGACCTCTGTCTACATAACCTGACAACATCAATTGTGACAATGCTTTTCATCATCTTTGCATAAATGATGCCGCAATCAGGGACAGGTAGAAGGAGAGCCATCAGCGTAGTCTGTCCACTATCAGGGACCACAGCTATTAATATAAGTTGCCAAAAAAGAGGGGGCACCAGTGCAGGAAATTAACTTCTCATCTCTATGGAACTCTGGCCTCTCCACAGGAAAGGAGAGATTCTTCTATGCACGACTTGATCATTATAGTTGCACCACTGCTAACCATACTGAGTTGCTTAAAATGTATTTATAGTTTGCTATGAGATAAAGCACTACGTTTCATGTATAATATGCCCAAGATTGAGGTGGTATGGTAGAATCTTCCAGAAAATCATATCTTTTTCATTGCATTTCCAGGTGGTGCCTATGAGGTGAAGCAACATCCCTTCTTTTGTGCCTTAGACTGGAACAGCCTACTGAGACAAAAAGCAGAGTTTATCCCACAGCTGGAATCAGAGGATGACACCAGCTATTTTGACAGTAAGTGGAGTGGGAAAGATTGTCATTAATTGGAGGCCAAAAGGTTTACATAATGTGTATGCTTTTTCTAGAGTGTCTGTCATAGAGCACTCATTTACTTGTTTAGCACTCGTTAAGGAATTTCAACTGTGCATGTGCAGAAATTACTTACACACTAAGATGAGTTCATTATTGCCAGTTATGGGACCGTAGACAGAACCAGACATTCAAATATAAAAAATATTATTATTAATAATAAAGCACAGATTTTTTTTTGGGGGGGATTGAAATGGCCACAGCCCTTTATTATTGGTAATATGAGTATTATTTATTATAATCAACTTGTAACACCTGTATAAAATAACATATGTTTGACCACTATAATCACACAAAACCAAAATATATTTTCACTTACATTTAAGAATACTTATATATAACTGAGCTATTACAGCTCGAGTTATGACAACTGGTACAAATAACTAATCCCATACGCCAGGCTCATCACAAATGGGCCTGGCACCCCACCTGAATCACTGCCAGTTCGATACAGGATTGCAAATCCAGGTTAAAAATATCTAGAGCAATCTCAGATAAATTAACTGTACCAACCTGGCAAAACTCTCTCTAAATCAAAATGGCGGAAAGACAAGCCACCAATCAAATGCATAAACTTCGAAATAGCCCAATTAATCCGATTCCTTATTTTTTCAAAATGTTTAAATCCAGGAACCAACAACCAATTAAGGCGAGGAACAATTTCTAAAAAAAAAAAAAAAAACAGAACAGTACACAGAAGCACCAAGTGAAATTGGAACAAATCGAATTTAATTTGGGAAATGGTGCCTAGAGTTTTGATCAACTGTGATTACTGGAAAAATGGAAGATGAGGATACTAGGAGGAAGCCAGGACAGATTTAGCAAGGATAGAGGAAAGAACAAACAGAGGGCGCACAGGCCTAGTGCATTACCATAAAAAATGTTTAATAAGAAATAAAATAGGTGTTGTACTCACAAACGACAATAAAGTCAAGGCACATCATAAAAGAACAGCTGGGTCAACACCGCGCTGAGTAACAGTCCGTAATGGGGAATGTAGACATCCAATAGGCAGACGTGTTTCGAGGACTTGCCTCTTCCTCAGAGCCACTGTTACTCAGCGCGGTGTTGACCCAGCTGTTCTTTTATGATGTGCCTTGACTTTGTCGTTTGTGAGTACAACACCTATTTTGTTTCTTATTAAACATTTTTTATGGTAATGCACTAGGCCTGTGTGCCCTCTCTTTGTTCTTTCCTCATTCAGTATATTTGGATTCCCCTGGTCTGTTGAGGGCAGCAAGGTGTGCATGTTCCAGGGCATTCTTAATGTGGTTGCAGCCTGCATCGAGTCCATCCCCAAGTGCAGGAGCATTTGTGTTTGCTGGTTCACAGCAAGGATAGAAACTGATGTAACTCAAACCACCTTATCCCCCTCTTTCCAAACCATCAAACTTGAAAATGATCCAAAGGAAAGCCTAAATTTGAACCATAGATCCTAGAAGCACATTGATAAGCCCAAAAAATGTATGAGTGACACATACTTGGCACTTGGCTTCTGAAAAAGTCAAAAACACAAATGAGGTCTTACATAGTAACGGTAACAATTTGACCGCCAACCCCCTATACCTTTAATAACATCAGACAAGGCAGAATTAGCAGTTTCCGTAGCTGCTCCAATACAGAAAGAATGAGATGTTATATGAAATTTGTGCAAATTGACAGTTTCTAAACATTTTTTAAGGGCAGCATTAAATTTAAAACTTTGTAAAAGGCAGGCCGGGAGCATGTAAAAGCAAGTGATCACCCGAAACAGGAAGCACTCGCATAAACTGCGAAAGCAACGAGACAGAACATGTAGGGAAGGCCTCAAACTTGTGAAGCTTAATCCACCACCCACAACTATTTTGATCACTTTCACTATGCCTAAATAAAAGTAAAAGTAAATGTGAGAAATCGCAACCTAAAACTGAGTCCGAAAAGAAAACACCAGAGCCATCCCCGTATTTTAAAGGAAGTAGTTCTAAGATACGAAACGCACCAAAAAAAACAGAAACTAAAAGACACTGGAAATAGCAAAGATTCATAAGCAGAAAAACAAACGGAAACAGTAGCCTCACATATGCAAAGTAAAACATCTGCAGTAATTGGCCATCTGGAATCCTGCTTACAATAACCTTTCAACACCTGTCTCACTGAAAAGGACATACAAGAAGGAGAACCCTTCAATTTAGGGAAAAAAAGAAAATTCCAGCCAAAGATTTCAGGATATGGAAATAAGAGTAACGTTGAGGCATCAAATAGTTTAGAAACAACAAAACGAGCTCTGCAGAAAACTTGGAAGAGTCAAATCCTGAACTTTTCAGAAAAATCTCCAGGAGTACCACGCAGCCTGATAATTCGCTGGTGTAGAGGGTGCAACGGATTGTTGAATTGCAAGCTCAAAGGAGCTCAAAGAAGGTCCCATAAGTGTAGTGGGCATAGGCATCCAACCTCTGTAGGTAGAACAAAGAGTCGGCGATTACATTATACACATCGGGTACATATTGAGCCTTAAGTCAAATATTCAATTCAAGGCATTTAACCACTTCCTGTCCGGACACTTTTACCCTTTCCTGTCCAGGGCAATTTTCAGCTTTCAGCGCTATCACACTTTGAATGACAATTGCGCAGTCATGCAACACTGTACCCATATGAATTTTGATAATTTTTTTTGAGACAGATAAAACTTTTTTTTGGTGGTATTTATTCACCACTGGGATTTTTATTTTTTTGCTATGTAGATGAAAAATCCAAAAATTTTGAAAAAAAGTGTTTTTCCTATAAAATTGTACAAATAAATAATATTTCATCATAAATCTTGGCCAAAATGTATTCCGTTATCTTTTTAGTGAAAAAAAAAAAGCCAAATTAGTTTATAACCAAAAATTATAATTTTTAAAATTTTTTTTTTTACATACTGTCACCCCTAGCAGTACAGTGTCACAATGGTGACACTGTACTACTTGTGGGGGGTGATGAAGATTTTTTTTTTTTTTTTTTTTACACCCATATAGGATGTAAAAGTAATAATTTCTCTTTCTCTTTGTCTGCATTCTTGCAGCCATTGAGAACTACTGAGTGAGCTGTGATTGGTCACAGCTTGTCACATGGTACAAGGCTGTTGTGAATAGCCTTGTACCATGTGACCTCTGTGATCAGTCACAGATTTCACACGTAGTAAGCAATGATGTCACAAGTGACATCTTGCTTACTACTTTGCATGTGATCACTGATTGGCCAATCAGTGATCACATAATCGGATTAGATAAACATCACTGGGATTAGTGTGAGTGTATTGCAACAGAATGTGCTTATAGCTTATATCCATTATAAAAAGAGAAATCCATGTGTGACACGTTATGTCCAAATCCAATTTATGCTGCATGTTTTCCCCATGCTTATATAGTACTGATAAATTACACAGTGCATAGATCCATTCACATCAATCCATTCCCTGCAAGAGCTCACAATCTGAAACGGGAATCATGCACACACTAGGCCAGTTATTACTAACACAGGGAGATTATAGAAACTTCATGCAGATAGTGCCCTGTTTTGATTTCAAACCATGGCCCCAGAGCTGCAAGACAAGAGTGCTAACCACTTAGCCGCTGCACTGCATATGTTGTGCTCAGGTGTTTGATACATGGACATATAGTATTAACACGTATATGAAGTCAAGTAATGCCTCAATAGCATAAAAGGCTTTTAACCTCTTGCCGTCCGCCTGCTGTTTATAAACGGCAGGGCGGTGGCAGTCCAAGGTCGGGTTGCCGTTCCTAAACGGCACCCGCCTTTTCTAGCTGTGCGCGCTCCCTAGGAGCGCGCACCACCGCGATCCGGTGTCCGCTGTGTCCTTCGGACACAGTGAAACACCGATCGTCGGACGGGACCTCTGTACGAGGTCCCGGTCATGTGATCACTGATTGGCGAATCAGTGATCACATGCAAAGTAGTAAGCAAGATGTCACTTGTGACATCATTGCTTACTACGTGTGAAATCTGTGAATGATCACAGAGGTCACATGGTACAAGGCTATTCACAACAGCCTTGTACCATGTGACAAGCTGTGACCAATCACAGCTCACTCAGTATTTCTCAATGACTGCAAGAATGCAGACAGAGAGAAAGAGAAATGATTGCTTTTACATCCTATATGGGTGTAAAAGCAATCAGTGTAAAAAAAAATAAATAAAATCTTCATCACCCCCCACAAGTAGTACAGTGTCACCATGGTGACACTGTACTGCTAGGGTGACAGTATGTAAAAATAAAAAATAAAAATAAAAAATAATATAAAAAAAAAATTTAAAAATTTTAAAAATTTAAAAAAAAATGTTTAAAAATTATAATGTTTGGTTATAAACTAATTTGGATTTTTTTTTTTTACTAAAAAAATAACGGAATAAATTTTGGCCAAGATTTAGGATGAAATATTATTTATTTGCAAAATTTTATTTAAAAAAACACTTTTTTTCAAAATTTTTGGACTTTTTCATTTACATAGTAAAAAAAATAAAAATCCCAGCGGTGAATAAATACCACCAAAATAAAGCTTTATCTGTCTCAAAAAAATGGTAAAAAATTCATATGGGTACAGTATTGCATGACCGCGCAATTGTCATTCAAAGTGTGATAGCGCTGAAAGCTGAAAATTGCCCTGGACAGGAAGGGGATAAAAGTGTCCGGACAGGAAGTGGTTAAATGTCACGGTTTCCATTTTAAATCCAAAAACAAGAGGTTTATTTCACATTTGGGGTAAACCAAGGAAAGCATTCTGTAGGTTATTCCCTGTGGACAAGTTAACTACTGGTTTAATGCACTGATATAGCTTACAATGCGGAGCTTGCAGCTGTTTCAGACTTGATAGCAATAACAGTGTAAGACATGGACAACATGGCCCTTAAAGCGGAGTTCCACCCAAAAGGGGACGTTCCATTTTAAAGATTGGTTCCCCGCTCCCCATTAAGGATTGGCACCTTTTGGGAGGGGGGGGGAATTTGACAGGTACTCGCTCCCACGTATCGCCTAGGCCAGTGGTCGGCAAGCCGCGGCTCGCGAGCCACATGCGGCTCTTTACACACGCTAATGCGGCTCTTCTGTGTGCCGGGCGCCCGCTCCCCTCCCTCCTCTCGGGCGGCCGCCCCAAAAGTCAGGACCTTTTAATCCGGCCTGCGGATGTGGCTGTCAGGATGTGTGTAGGCGGGGTAGCGTGACGAGCGTGAGGGGAGCTAGGCTCCTCTCACAGTCCGCCCTGAAGACCGGAACGGCGCGGGAAACCGGCGAGAGGAACGCGCGGAGCAAAGGTAAGTGAATTGACACAGGGGGGACTTGGGGACTTAATATGGGGGATGAATTACTATATGGGGGATGAATTACTATGGGGGATGAATTACTATATGGGGGATGAATTACTATATGGGGGATGAATTACTATATGGGGGATGAATTACTATGGGGAATGAATTACTATATGGGGGATGAATTACTATGGGGGATGAATTACTAAATGGGGGATGAATTACTATGGGGAATGAATTACTATATGGGGGATGAATTACTATATGGGGGATGAATTACTATATGGGGGATGAATTACTATATGGGGGATCAATTACTATGGGGGATGAATTACTATATGGGGGATGAATTACCATATGGGGGATGAATTACTATATGGGGGATGAATTACTATGGGGGATGAATTACTATATGGGGGATGAATTACTATGGGGGATGAATTACTATATGAGGGATGAATTACTATGGGGGATGAATTACTATATGGGGGATGAATTACTATAAAAACTTATTGAAACTAAAAACAGTGTACCATCCTATGTATTTTCAGTTTTAAAAATGTGGCTCTCAAAATAAATTTCAATTGTGGTTTTGGCGAGATTTGGCTCAGTTGAAAAAAAAGGTTGCCCACCACTGGCCTAGGCGATCGAGTCCTCCTCCCCGAAGTCTTGTGGGACACGTGGCCATTCAGGAAGTGCAGCGCTACTCGCGCATGCGCAGTGGGCACCCGGCTGTGAAGCCGCAAGCTGTCACAGCCGGGTGCCCACACTGAAGATGCCGGCACCTGGAATGCAGGACGGCTAGTGAAACAGGCTACGGCGAGGGCAACACAGGATCGTGGGACAAGTGAGTGGCTGTTTTTTTAAAAGTCAGCAGCTACAGTTTTTGTAGCTGCTGACTTTTATTTTTTTACAGAGTGAGTGGAACTCCACTTTAAGGAGTATTGCCTAAATTGGATTTGTTCCCAGATCATTCACACTAAAGAATTTACAAAGTCAGAGCAAGCCCCGGTTTGTCTTTGTATCTACAGGCATTGTGCAGAAATTAATTTTCAAAGTTCTCAAAACCAGCACTCAAAGCTTTTTTTTTTTTTTTTCTATGAGAGCAGATCTTGGGAGCCTGCCAGCCCTCTTATGTAAGCAAACACTAAATGTTTCTAAGCTGTTAGAAACCAACTGAAACCCAGCTCTAGGACCTTTGAGAAATAAGAATAACTTTTTATTAAAAGCAACTAGAGGTCAGTGATGGGTTGTGTTTGTAACGGAACTGACCCAGCCTGCGCTGAGTACTTCCATTAGAATACTGCTTCCCTATTCGAACACCGACCGCAGACACCACAGCAGACCATACAAGACTAGATGACACCAGTCTTGAAGTAAACCAGGAAATAGACTACTTTATTTTAAGACAGATACAAGATATATACACTCAGGGGACAATCCCCCCTCCCTGCATAATGACACAGGGCAGGGCAATCTACCTTTAGAAACAAGAAACACACCAACAGACAGTCCCATCAGGAGAGAGGGCTGCTGGAAACACCCCCAGCAAGCCAATACACAAACACATATATCCCATAATAGTTTGCAACCAAGCCAGACACACAATAATACAATGGGATGCAACCACATGGCATTAAACAATGAACAACCCCCCCACCCCAATATTAGGACAGATCACCCTGTACCCCTAACAGACACAGGGTGACTTACACATAATAGGGATATGGGGAGCTGAGACAGGGGTCTCCCCACCTCTCCAAAGTGAGCTGTGTTCCATGGGCCCCCCACCCAAAGTGATTCCCGTCACAGTGTTAAAGCGGTTTCACTACTTGATAGCAATATGTAAATAGTTTAAAGTGGAACTAAACTCTCTCAGTCAACATTAACCGTTTTGAATCCTCATGCTGCCATCATAAGTACATACCTTTGGGGGTATATTATATTTACTTTTTTAAACTTTTTTTTTTTACATCTCTTCAGTTGATTCCTGGTTTCTGGCCCAGGCCAAAATTATGTTATTCTTTCTTTCATTTGGAGGAGGGGCTTTCTCAGCTAAGCACACCCTCTTGCTTGCATGCCTAAGCCAAGGGCAGATGGATTCCAGGAAGTAAATCTTACATGAATCATCTGCCCTTACTCAATATGGCTATGGCTAGAAATCTAGAAGTGAGGTGGTGGTGGGTTAAAGTGATTTCTCAACAAAATAAACCATAGAGAAAACAGATGGATTAGTGATTTTGCCTGTAATATTAAAAATGAATTGAATAGTGTTTTCAGTTTGTGGTGCTCAGATACAGATTAGTTCTGCTTTAATATATATTTTGGTGAATTAGCAAGAGGGGGACAAAACCTTCTAATCAAAATTTTAGTGTTTTTTTTAAAACAGACTACATTTAAATATCTTTGCTTCCATCTAAATTACAAAAAGAATCTATGCATCATTACAAGGCGATGAGTGGAGCCACAATTTTTGTTTTCTCCATTGTTTTCTAGTTTGCACCTTTTATTTATCTCCTTATCAAAGTCACCAGGCAATAACATTGGATAAGAGAACCCAACAAAGGCGACCTATTCACCTTCCAATGGTGGGCTAGGAGATGTCTGTGGGGGTTGGGGAGTGATGTGGTATTCTTGCCTGAATTAAGTGTAACCTGGGTCTGTTCACCTTATTCTTGATGTCATTTTTACTTGTAACTATTTTTTTGTGCCTGGGGTAGATGCCATTTTTATTCTTTTATCTTGCTCAAGTCAACGCTTTCTTCTTCACATACATATGCATACTTCTGTATGGTGACCATTAAAATTGTATTACTTTTTAGCCCGGTCTGAGAAATACCACCACATGGAAACAGAGGAGGAGGATGATACCAATGATGAGGACTTCAGCATGGAAATCAGACAATTTTCATCATGCTCACATCGCTTTTCTAAAGTAAGTATGATTTAAAGCCTGCATATCTGCTCTTCTAATAGGTAGCATCCTGTGTGAAGTTTGGCTGGGAGAAGATGTGACTATTTATTTTCAGATGCACCAAAACGTACATCAGCCAAATGTCTTAGGACAGACAAAAACACACCAAAAACAATAGGTTTAAGCCTATCCAACCCAAAACGATAAAATTAATACAAATAAGACAATGACTTGAAGTCATCTTTAAATTGCTCCAACCTACAAATATGTGTTGCCTAATATGTCCAGTGAGGGTCACTGCTACTACCACTGCTAGCTTTTCAGTGAAGTCCACCTACAGTATGACTTCATCCACACATAATTGAAAGAACACAGAACTATAAGAAATAATACTACTATTATACTATACTAGAAATAATACAGGCTATAAGAAATAATACTACTATTATTTGGCATCAAGCTCCTTGTTTATAGGTTGCAGAACTACAGAGATGCATAGAGATACTTGGGAGCTTTCAATTAATGTATTAATTTAGAAATTCTTCAACAGTTACCTAACAATAAATATAGTTATACACAACAGTCACATCCTAGAGCAGGGGTGTCCAACCTGTGACCCATGGGCTGCATGCAGCCCAAAAAAAAAATCGGAAATTTACCTAAAAATGTTGATTTTATTTTTTGGAGAATTTTTTGTAAAAATGTGTTTACACTTAGCGAAACACATGCATCCAAAGAAAAATTTTACAGTGTCTCTTAACTGGGCGTTTATAATATTTTATCTTCCTGAAGAAATTCTCCCACTCTTCACAATAACATTTTATTCATGTCATCCGTTTTTGGCAGTACCTTTATGGCCTTTGTGGGCAACTATTTTCAAAAAAGAAGCACATAAAGGGCAAAATTAGAACCAAAATATCTGATGAGCACCTTGGGAATTCGTTGAGAATTGACACTACATCCATTGTACCAGCTATTGATGCATTGGTTTATCATAAACAGTGTAAAATGTCACACTAGTTTTATGTTGCCCTCTTTTACCTTTTATAATGAAAAAAGTTATACAAAATTAAGTTTTATTACTCAGGTACATTTTCTATATCATTGATAGTTAACTTGTGATCTGCCATGCTTTTTCCTGCTCATCAGCATTTTCTTATTGTTAGTGTATTTTATGTGTGGCCCACGGCAATTCCTCTTCTTTCAATGTGGCCCTGGTAAGTCAAAAGGTTGGACACTCCTGCCCTAGAGGCAAAACAATTAAAATCCACACATACAATGTAGCAATGTCAGTACCAACTTTACAATATATTAATGATCATGATCATGTTTTTAAATGGGTTTTCATTTTCAGCAACAAAAAACTTTTAGTCAAGCTTTAATACCCCAAGGTTTTTGTCGTAATGTGATTATTACTCAAAAATGTCTAAATTGTATACTGTATGAGGAGTAACAAAGCCATGTATTACATATTGTTTGTTTATGTATTTTTAGGTGTTTAGTAGCATTGACCAGATGATGCAGAACAAAATGGAGGAAAAGGATGACAGTAGTGAAAAATCAAAGAGCTTAAATTTACCTCCCGTGGAATCTTTGAGCTGGAGCTCTGAGTATTCTGAGATGTAAGTAGAATGAGAAGGTATTACTATACCCAAAGTGGTATTGGGGAACAGTGTCTTCTATTGACAATGTGTATGATCTGATGGGTGACTGAACCATAGCAAAAGGCATCTTAAATGAAGAAAAAAAATTAAATCAGTAGATGCTAAATGATGTATAAGCATGTGGGCAATTTTATATTGTAAAAGTAACTTATTTCATATGAAATAAGCCTGCCAAACCATGAAAATTCAAACCAATGAAAAAAAATAATCAAAGGTAACAGTGTAGCTGCATGACAGTATGAAACACTTAATATTGGCACCTTGTAAATCTCCATATTGCTCCCTTAATGTGAGGGACAGATTCATTGACCAGTAGGGAACTTCTTATCTGCACACATTTCCAGATCTGTTACTCAAGATACTCAAGTCAGAAAAGCAGCACAACAATCAGAAAAGGTTTAGGGTTCAAGTTTACGCTTGCCCAACTCGATGCTTGTGAATGTATGTGACAGTCTCATATGGCTCCAATGACCAAGCCCCTTGACTTGTTTCACCCCGCCCACAGGGACTTAGTCATAGAGGTCTCCTCTATGACCTCTGTGACTAAGCCCCCAGAGGGCAGGGTAAAACATATCAGGGGTCGTGGTCAGTAGAGCAGCTCTGGCTGAGGCCATCACAAACATTCACAGGTATCGGGTTGGGTGAGCGGCGTCCTAAACACCAGCTCCTCTGGATGTGTGAGATTTGACACCAGCACTCCATTTCCTGAGTGCCAGTGGGGAGGTACACCATACCTTACTCTTGCATTGACAAATGCTACTAAGTGTGACAGGTAACAAATCAAAGGGATTTAGTCAATAAAGTTCACTTACGCTTCTCTGCAAAACTCATAACCCTGTCGGTTGAAGAAGCAGAAATGTTCTTACCGATATCCTTTACACGATGGGGGAATTTTTCAGTACTGGAACAAATAGAGTCTAGAGCAGCAGCTGTACATAGTAACCAATTAGCTTTTATCTTCAATTTCAGTTTAGCTTTGAAAATGAAAGATAGAATCTGGTTGCCAGAAAATGAAAGATAGAATCTGATTGGTTGCCATGCATTGCTGCTCCAGTTTTGATAAATTTTCCTCGTGTCTACAGCCTGCATTGTTTCCATTCTAAATGAAGATGTCCTACATATGCAGCACAGATTGCATCCCAGTGAATCTGATCTTTATAGAAGATTGTGAAGGTATCAAAACATTTTAGAGCTCTATTTAGAGAGTTCTTCATTATTTGCACAGTGAAACACCATAAGATGTATTTATAAATTCATACATTCATTTTTTTTGTACCAGAGGTTGACTTGGTATCAACCTCTTGCAGTCCCTGTACAGCAGACTGGTAGGGGGAAGTTACACAAGAAGCCAGTCAGCTGTGCTGACAAGGAACATGCTGATTGGAAGAGAGTGGAGTGACAGAGATGAGCTCATCATTCTACTGCTTCTCCTTTTGCTTTCTGTGCACAGGCTAGGGGAGGTTCCTTGTCCTGCCAGACAGGGCTATGCTGTGTGGGAAAACTTTGTAATTGTCATCACTTGATGAACAAAAATAAAAATCATTTGGCAGGTAAAAAACAGCTCCCATATCATCTGTGTATTTAGCAGTTTTTCTAGACCTCAGCTTTAATTGTACACTGATCAGCCATAACGTTATGACCACTGACAGGTAAAGTGAATAGCACTGATTATCTCATTACAATGGCATCTAGGTGGGATTTATTAGACCGCAAATGAACATAGTGTCTCTGAAGTTGATATGTTGAAAGCAGAAAAAAATGGGCAAGTGTAAGGATTAGAGCAACTTGACATGGGCCAAATTGTAATGGCTAGACAACTGGGTCGGAGGAACTCCAGAATGTCAGCTTTTTGTGGCATGTTCCTGGTCTGCAGTGGGCAGGACCTGCCAAAAGTGGTCCAAGAAAGGAAACCAGTGAACTGTGACAGGGCCATTGGTGGCCAAGGCTCATTGAGGCACATGGGGAGTGAAGGATCTTCCCTGTAGCGCCAGAAGCAGGTGCACTGTGATAACTAGCCTGCTGCTTTGCAAACGTCTTCTTAGACATTTTGTATGTGCTGCCCTGAATGTAGAGAGCGACCTGGCTGAATGAGTCTCTACCACTTTTGGAGGCTTTTGCCTGGTTGTACTATGTTTTCAGGATGACTTCGACACTACAAGATGATAAGGTAAACTGCAGTTTCCTCCTCTGAATTTGTCTGATGGAAACACAAACAGCCTCCCAGAGGATTTAAACTAGGAAGCAGCTTGAAGGTAGGCATCTTAGATACCAGGTACATCCAGCTTGTGTAGGTTAGGTACCATCTGTGCCAGAAAGGATGGAATCACCAATTTGTAAGATAAAATTGAAGCCACCTGGGGACAAAGGTGCTCGAGGGGCATAGGCCCCAACTTGTTCAGAAGAAAGAAGATGTAGGACTGTGCAGCTTGAAGTGCTTGCAGCTCCACGACTCTGCCCCCTGAAGTTATCGAGGGACACTGCTTCTTGAGTGATGTCTTACTGAAGACTCCTTTCTATTGGCGCAAACAGAGTCCTGGCAAGGAAATCCAGTGCCAGAATAAAAATCTCACTGGAGAAACGTTTTTCCTCCTCAGGGCAAAGTCTCAGGACCAACCTCCTGAAACGCTCCCCTGGCAGCTCACACGCTCATATTTCTTGATGAAGCTGAAATGGCTAAAAGTTGAGCTGTTACAGAACTAGGCTGAGCCCCAAATCCAGATCTGTGTGAGGAAACTATAGCAACTGGGTGACCACCGGGTTGCTAGGATCAAAATCCTGCTCAGCTGCAAAGACTGTGAACCTGTTCCAGACTTCAGAGTAAATTGCATTTGTTGGCATCCTTCCTGAAACCCTGCAGGATTTACCACTGAAAGAGGATGATCCTAATCCTTCCCTCTTGATTTCCAATCCATCCTGGGCCAGGTGTTGTGGAAACACTGATAGCTGAAGTGCTTGGTCCAGACTCCAGGTCCATGGCTAGGGTAAAACCCAGACCTGCAGGCTAATTGGGCATGAGGCCTTCTGTACAGTGTATGTGTGGATGGCATAGCCAGCCATATGACCAGAAACAGCCACAAAACTCAGATCGGATCGTGTGCACACACCAGTCACCGGTGAAAGGAAAAAACTGTTGACAAAAGAAAACCCTCAAATCACTCTCACAAAGGAACAAATGACAAAACCTAATGAAGGTAGAGGCAAGGGAGGAAGACAAAAAGGATAGCACTAACCTGTGGGCGAGAAGAAAAAGGCAGCACTAACTCCAGCACCATGATTCTGCTCAGGTGTGCAGAGAGAAACCAATGCAGCATGGACTGCAGCAAACAAACACCAGCTCAAGGGGAAGCACATGAGGTTCTGACGTCTCTGGTTAGAAAACTCCTCAGCCCCAAAAGACCACCAGAAGGGACTCCCCATCTTATTGGTGCATTTAGCAACCTAAGATGCAGGACTGTGCCTGGGAGAGGCTGAACCCAGACTCCGACTCAGTCTGTAGGTAGGGACTTATTGCAACATCACGGTCTTGCAGGTGTAGATCTTGAGGACAAAAAGGAGAATGGGGGAGGTTGCTTTCAGTCAGACTTTTATAGATATACACAGGTCCTGTGGGTGGATATAGGGGCGGAGCTTTATCACATGTATGCTGCCATGTTGGTGTCAGGAAAAAGTTCTACTTTAAAAGATCTACTACTGATGGCTTGGTGTCAGATACCACACCTTCAAAGGTGTAGTGGAATTCATGTCTTGATGGGTTAGGGTGGGTGGTTATAATGTTATGACTGATGTAGTAATTTAATGAGTTTTTTTATTTCAGAATGGTATCATGCTTTTCCTTTTTTCACACCCTTCAGAAGTTTTGAATTCATTATTTAATACATTGAATTTTTCTTATGTTACATCTTTTTCAAACAGGCAACAGCTCTCCATATCAACCTTTTCTGACAGTGAAAGTCACAAGCAACGGCACAGCACCAGCCTGCTGCCAAAATTTGCCATCTCCTCTGACCTAGAACGAGATGAGCACAATGCTGGAGATTCCCAGGAGGAAGGGGACAAGTCCGGTCTTATTTCTGAAGACTCTCCGCAGGAAGATCCTGACCTTGCCACACCTGTCAGCATTAGCAGCTCCACAGTGTCAGGTGTGTACAGATTTACATCGTTACTAATCATTCAGTGCTGATAATCATTCAGAACTTGGTCTTTTAAGGAACCCGTTAATGAATACTTTTTCCCTAATGTAATTTTTATTTATTTTAAACCAATTATGCTGGCAATTAAAAAAAAAAAAAAATAAGCTTTATGAAAAAAAAAATCCTTTTATAGTGTGTTTGTGTGTGTATATGTGTATATATATGTATAAATATATGTATGTATGTGTGTGTATATATATATATATATATATATATATATATATATATATATATATATACAGTCATGGCCGAAATTGTTGGCACCCTTGATATTTCTCCAGGAAATCATGTATTTCTCACGAAACGTATTGCATTAACACATGTTTTGCTATACACATGTTTATTCCCTTTGTGTGTATTGGGACAAAACAAAAGGAGGAAAGAAAGCAAATTCGACATAATGTCACACAAACCTCCAAAAATGGGCTGGACAAAAGTATTGGCACCCTTTCACAACTGCGGATAAATAAGAATGTTACAAGCATGTGATGCTCCTGTAAACTCACCTGGGGCAAGTAACAGGTGTGGGCAATATAGAAATCACACCTGAAAGCAGATAAAAAGGAGAGACGTTCACTTAACCTTTGCATTGTGTGTCTGTCTGTGCCACACTAAGCATGGACAACAGAAAGAGGAGACGAGAACTGTCTGAGGACCTGAGAACCAAAATTGTGGCAAAATATCAACAATCTCAAGGTTACAAGTCCATCTCCAGAGAACTAGATTTGCCTTTGTCCACAGTGCGCAACATTATCAAGAAGTTTGCAACCCATGGCACTGTAGCTAATCTCCCTGGTCGTGGACGGATGAGGAAAATTGATGAAAGATTGCAACGCAGAATAGTCCGGATGGTGGATAAGCAGCCCCAAACATGTTCCAAAGACATTCAAGCTGTCCTGCAGGCTCAGGGAGCATCAGTGTCAGCGCGAACTATCCGTCGACATTTAAATGAAATGAAACGCTATGGCAGGAGACCCAGGAGGACCCCACTGCTGACACAGAGACATAAAAAAGCAAGACTACAGTTTGCCAAAATGTACTTGAGTAAGCCAAAAGCCTTCTGGGAAAACGTCTTGTGGACAGATGAGACCAAGATAGAGCTTTTCGGTAAAGCACATCATTCTACTGTTTACCAAAAACGGAATGAGGCCTACAAAGAACAAAACACAGTACCTACGGTAAAATATGGTGGAGGTTCAATGATGTTTTGGGGTTGTTTTGCTGCCTCTGGCACTGGGTGCCTTGACTGTGTGCAAGGCATCATGAAATCTGAGGATTACCAAAGGATTTTGGGTCGCACTGTAGGGCCCAGTGTCAGAAAGCTGGGTTTGCGTCCAAGATCCTGGGTCTTCCAGCAGGACAATGACCCCAAACATACGTCAAAAAGCACTCAGAAATGGATGGCAAAGAAGCGCTGGAGAGTTCTGAAGTGGCCAGCAATGAGCCCAGATCTAAATCCCATTGAACACCTGTGGAGAGATCTTAAAATTGCTGTTGGGAAAAGGTGTCCTTCCAATAAGAGAGACCTAGAGCTGTTTGCAAAGGAAGAGTGGTCCAAAATTCCGGGTGAGAGGTGTCAGAAGCTTATTGATGGTTATAGGAAGCGACTGATTTCAGTTATGTTTTCCAAAGGGTGTGCAACCAAATATTAAGTTAAGGGTGCCAATACTTTTGTCCAGCCCATTTTTGGGGTTTTGTGTGACATTATGTCATATTTGCTTTTCTGCCTCTGTTTTATATTTGTTCCAATACATACAAAGGGAATAAACATGTGTATAGCAAAACATGTGTTAATGCAATACCTTTTTTGTGTGAAATACTTGATTTTCAGGAAAAATATCAAGGGTGCCAACAATTTCGGCCATGACTGTATATATATATATATATATATATATATATATACACACACACAATCACCGGCCACTTTATTAGGTCAACCTTGCTAGTACAGGGTTGGACCCCCTTTTTGGATATATGAGGCAGTCAGTGGGATTTATTAGGAGCAAGTTGTCCCTGAGTTTGTTGTGTATGGGGGTTGTGTAACCGCATGCTTACTCATGTCCACCGCCAAATGCTCCTACAGTGGGCTTGTGAGCATCAGAACTGGGCCATTGAGCAAAGGAAGAAGATGGCCTGGTCTGATAAATCCCATTTTCTTTTACATCATGTGTATTGTCGGGTTCATGTGCAGCGCTTGCCTGGGGAAGAGATAGCACCAGGATGCACTATGGGGAGAGCAAGCCAGCAGACACAGTTTGATGGTTTGGGCAATGTTCTAGGAAACTTTGAGTCCTGCCATTCATGTGGATGTTACGTCGACACATACCACCCACCTAAACTTTATTTCTGACCAAGTACACCGCTTCATGTAGGATAATGTGCCCTGCCACACTGCAAAAATGGTTCAAGAACAGTTTGAGGAGCACAATAATGAGTTTAATTCTGCAAACCTCAATCCAACTGAATATCTCTGGGATGTGTTGTGGGGGGGGGGGGGGGGGTCCGGTCCATGGAGGTCCCACCTTGCAAATTACAGGACTTAAAGAATAAGCTACTGACTCCTTGGAGTCAGATAGGACCGCATACCTTCAGAGGCCTAGTGGTGTCAGTTCCTTAATAGTTCCGGGCTGTTTTGTGCCAAAAGGACGAACTACTCAATTTTGGGTGAGTGGTAATGAAGTTATAGCTGATCGGTGCGTATATATGTACAGTGGGTATGTATGTGTGTGTGTGTGTGTGTGTATAATATATACATTCTGTGCTTTCTGTCAGGGAACAAAGCAGTTTCCACCATAAATGGTTGGATGAGGAGATCAAAGTTGTGTTCTCTAGACTGCATAGGCAACTGATAAGACTGCGTATCTGCTTGAAACTTTTGAAAATTAATATATAACAATAATTCATAGTTTAATTGAAAGATATGTGACATTGTTTTGTTAGATATATAAAGTGCAACGCTCCTAAATACACAATCCCTACAGCCAAGCAAATTAGTACAATCCACTACATAATATAAAGTGATCAAAATCTGAACAAGCCAATATGATATCAATGGTGACTGCACATATACATAAATAATGTTATTAGTGAATAATGAATAAAGTGCATTCAATGTGATTCAAAAGTCACTTATCACGTGTATATTCATCAATCAGTACTATGTATTTTCATTTCACCTTCTTGTCAATGGGTGGCTATGCTCACTCATTCCACTTTATGGAGGAAGTCATGGTTGTCATACAGGCTGGAATTTAAACATGTCTGCCTTTGTTTATCTAAATTACATTGGGGGTGGGGGTAATTTTAGTTTACAGAAGGAAGATCAGATTGTTTAAGACTTCGAATTCAGCTCACAGAAAGTGACAATGACACTTCATTTCTGACCAGATCAACTGGTATGTTCTGGCCTTGTTAAAAATGTTCCGAAAGTCCCTGAAGGTAGGAACTAATGCAGCCGTCGCATCTAAAGGCTAGTAGGCTGCAATATATAAGATTTTGTTCTTGGGTTTAGATATCCTGTAAACAAAGCCTGCAGAAACATTTGGAAGCTATCATTGCTGACCAATGGTTTCAGCACTTTCTAAGTCAATGACTGGGAGCAGGTATAAAGATTAGAAGCTCTGAACGAATGTGAACGGTGAGCGCAAAGAAAATAATGATAATGAAGGAAGCAGCTGGCACAGTGTGGTAAACCCTCTGCTCCCACTTAAACAGACAAATAAAAAAAATGGTGCAGTGCTAGATTATATGAAGCAGATAAAAACATGTTGCCAAACAATACAAATGAATAATGTCCAACATATGAGTGACAGGGACATAAATATTGCACTGTGATATGTCCCAAAAATAAAACTTGATCGGATATTAGTCCCAAACTGTGATCAAATAAAGAGCAAACAACAATAGTGACTTCTGTGACTTCCGTGTTACTCCTCCACCATTATGCACTCACCAGAAGCAAGTAGCAAACCAGCATTGAATGAAATGACTCTTTGAAGCAAATCTGCTCAATTCTTATCTCCAGTCACCGATCCACCCAAGGTTGGGATCCCTCCTGCCCCATGTCCGGCGATTACCCTGATCCGTGTCCCGCAGGAGGCACCTGGGTCGCAGCCACTTCCTAGTTCAGTGAGCCAGGGGCCAGCTTATTACATATTCATCCTATGACTTCTAATTTTTCTGACCTCTGAGAGATGTTATTGCAATTTGTAAAGATAGTAACTTGTGAATGAGCATGTTTTTCCCCATTTGTGCATTCTAATACAAATTTTAGATGTCCTTAGCAAGGGTTTCTACGGAAATTCATATAATTGTGCAGCACATCGGCTAAGTGGTTAGCACTTCCACCTGGTGTCACTAGGGTTGTCAGTTTGAATCCCAACCAGGGCACTACCTTCCTGAAGTTTGCATTTTTTTTAACCTGTGCCTGCATGGGTTTCTTCAAAGTAGTCTGGTTTCCTTCCACACTCCAAAGACATGCCGATAGGTTAATAGGCACCTTTCCTAGTATGTGTATGTATGAATATGAGTTAGGGACCTTAGATTGTAGGCTCCTTGAGGGCTAGGGACTGATGTCAATGTACAGTATATACTGTATATAAAGCACTATGTAAATTGACGGTGCTATATAAGTACCGGTAATAAAAAATAATTGGAAATTGTATATAAACCTGATGCTGGCCACACACATATACAGTTGTGTTCAAAATAATAGCAGTCAGACATCACTAACCTGATCAATCACTGTTTTTGGTAGAAATGATATTTCTACATGGCAAATAATTTACTAGCAGGTGTAGTAGAGTAATAGAAATCCAACAGACCCAACAGTCATGACATGCATGCTGCTGATTCTGTGTAATTGAATCACTAATTGAAAGGGGCATGTTCAAAATAATAGCAGTGTGGAGTTCTATTAGTGAGGTCATTCATTCTTTGAAAAAACAGGT